TCGTTTTGAACTGCCCTAGGTTTTAAACTTCGTTGGATTATTAGTGGACTGAGAACCTTCACATTTGTCGTTTTTGATTATATTATTAACAATAAACTACCACTAGTCTATTACCTAACTAGCCTGTTCAATAGGCCTACATTTCTATGAACACTGTATAACGTGAGCGACGCTGTCCATTACGGTGGAAACCACATTAAATATAAATTTAATTATAATGTAGTAGCGCTAACAGTAACAACTCTGCACACATAATAAGTTCTTAGGTTAACCTATATTACCAACTGTATTGAGCCAAACAATGCGCTCATTAAACGAGACTAGTGATGGCTGGATAGGCATGATATTAAATAGCTGTAATAAACTACTGTTGCTAACATATTTATTCCGGTCCAGGTTTCTATTTATTCATTGATTTTTCTTCTTCTGACGTTACTCTGGTATAACGTTAGTGCTGCATATTATGACCACAGACAGTATGATTATGTTCTAAACGCTTGGCTTTTATTTTGATAGGCCATATTTACTATTACTTCCGGGTCACGTGACCAACCTGTCCGTGTTTTAATGTAGATCTTCAAACGGGAAAATGGAAAAAGGAATTTCAAAAAACCAAAATCGGACCGTTATTTGATTTTGGTTTTTTCGTTTTTGGATTCAGAACCAAAAACGGGAAAACGGCTCTTTTTTTACGGTTTCTTTGTTTTTGGTTTGAAACGAAAAACGAAAAAAGGGTGGTTTCATTATTTTGTTTTTTGTTTCAAACGAAAAAACAAACTATCAAAACGTACACGGACCGAAATGGCTTAACGGCAGAAATAAAATATCCCAAATATATAAAAATATATTGTCCAAAATAAAATATCCCACCTAAATTAAGGCATGTTTTAAGCACACAGCAAATATACTGTAATTATGGCATTTTAATGTTGCCCAAAAATTATATAAAAAAGAAAGAAAAATGAGTGAGACCAATTCAGACAAGTGTTTCTGCCCCACGAAAATGGTTATCGCATTGTAACAGTAGGGTCAGGGGATCTCTGGATAATCCGTAATTCGTTTGTAATTATAAAACGAAAATACCGTTTTTCTGTTTTTTTGTTTCAAATAGAAAAACCAAATAACCGTTTTTGGTAACAGAATCAAAAAACGAAAAACCAATTAAAAACTGCCCGTTTTTCGTTTTTTTGGCGATCATTTTATCGTTATTCATTTTTGAACAAAGAATGAAGTGAGTCTTTGAACTTCTGTCAATTCGTTTTTCGCAAACCAAAAACGGAAGTCACGTGGTCCATTCCTTTTTTTATTATTTTTTTTATTGAACTTTTACTTATTACAACAAACAATAAAGAAATCCAACAAAGAAAGAGCGTATGACAATCTCAAAATGTACAATACAAATACTAATATATTACAAGATTCACACCTCCCGCACATCATCCAAAAAGACATCCTCTGCACTGATCACATGACAAGGGAGAACAAATAGACTTAAGGAGCTCAAAACACTAAAAAAAAAAATACTAATAATAAAAAAAAAAAAAAAAAAAAAAGAGGGACATTTGAAGTGTCACTAAACGGTTAGCCTGGGCATTCTCAACCTTAGCTAATGAGACAGTTTTGAAACAGCAAAAGTTCGTTTTTAAATGCAGACCATGAGGGGGAGGACTTAGCAAATCGACATTTATGTATATAATATTTTGTAGCTATAATTAGATTATTGACCAAAAATTCGTCATTTTTATTTTGTAGAATTACACCCATCTGAATATTTTGAAAGGAAATCTATGCTTATGGAACTGGAGGACAACATGGTGTGAAGAGATTTCCATAAGTTTTGAACCATATGACATTCATAAAACAGGTGTTCAGTTGTTTCAACATAAATATTGCAGATATGACAATTTTCTACTTCCAATTTAAATCTTTTCTTTATAAACTTATTAGAGGGATATATGTTATTTATTGTTTTAAAATGTACTTCATTAAATTTGGGAGGAATTGGATATCTTAGGAATTTTGTTCTAATTGAAGTAATTTCATATTTGTTAAAACCAAAAAAGTTTAAAAGTTACCAAAAAGAGTACTCCTTGTTCTACCCGGGTACAAACAGTTAACAAGAGTTTTCATGAGGAATTTATTATTACATTTTTTGTCTACCAGGTCCACATAATCGATTTTAATTTTGTGTAGTTCTGGAGATGCAATGTTCATAATAGTATTCTTTATTGCTTGAATAAGGACCTTTGGAATGTTTTGTGTTACTTTGTTGTAATCCACAAATGAGCAGTTAATATTATATTTAGAGTTAAATTCCTCCAGTTCAAGAATATTACCATTTTCATCCAATATATGAACAATTGACCATATTTCCTTTTCCCACCAGTCTTTCAGAAACATAGATTTCCTTCTACACAATATAACTCTGTTATTCCATAATGGAACATTGTGGGGACTGAAGTTATGTTTGAACATCAGCTTCCACTGTAACAAAACCTGCTGATGAAACATTGAAAGTTTTATAGGCAATTTAGATATTTCAAAGTCGCATGTTATTAAAAATGCAATACCTCCCACTTTATCAAATATATATGCTGGTAAGGAGAACCATATCTCTTCAAGTCAAGTCAAGTCAAGTCACATTTATTTATATAGCGCTTTTCACAATACAGATTGTATCAAAGCAGCTTCACACTGATAACATGAAAGTAGCACAACACAGATCAACAACATTGCTAAACACTAAATAACCCCAACTGAGCAAGCTCAAAGCAAGCCAAAAGCAAGGCGACAGTGGCAAGGAACCAAACTCCATCAGATTGGATGGAGAAAAAACCTTGGGAGAACCCAGGCTCAGTCGGGGGCCAGTTCTCCTCTGGCTTACATTCATATTGTTTAAATATAAATATTAAATATAAATATTGTTTATGAATCAAACGGCGCCATAACATATCGCAGGCGTTGAGTCGTCTCTTCACAGGTGTTGAGTCGTCTCATCACAGGCGTTGGGGCATCCGAAATCCCCGTGAGAGGCTGGACACAAAACTGGACCTGACGAACGCCATTTTTCTCGGGACAAGCGTCCCGAGATAACAGCAGAAAGGCAGATGGGAAATAATTAGCATAGCTGATGTTCATAATGATTTCCGTTATAACTCACAAACTCTCCGTAACCTGAACTCTCCGCAACCCAACCATACGCGCCGACCCGTTTGTCTAAAAGGCTGTCGAGCCCCACTGGTGCGTTAAGCAGTTTCAGTGGCAAACGGTTCCGTATGGCATAACAGAGGACTAGAAGGTAAGCATTATGTGAATGCTTGACTAAAAAGAAGCGTCTTTAATCTAGTCTGTGTCAGCGAGTCAGAGCCTCGGACCGTATCGGGAAGGCCATTCCAGAGTTTTGGAGCTAAATGCGAGAACGCCCTCCCTCCTTTACTGGACTTCGATATCCTAGGAATGACCAGAAGCCTTGAATTTAGTGATCTTAAGGAACGCGGTGGATTGTAGGGCGAAAGAAGGTCCGTTAAGTACATATGTGCTAAACCATTTAGGGCTTTATAGGTCAGTAGTAGTATTTTGTAGTTGATGCGGAACTTAATAGGTAACCAGTGTAGAGATGATAAAATCGGTGTTATATGATCATATTTTCTTGACCTAGTAAGAACTCTAGCAGCTGCATTTTGTACTAACTGTAGCTTGTTTATTGAGGATGCAGGACAACCGGCTAATAAAGCATTACAGTAATCTAGTCTCGAGGTCATGAATGCATGAACTAATTTTTCAGCATCAGAAACAGATAGCATGTTACGTAGCTTAGCAATGTTTCTAAGGTGGAAAAAGGCTGTTCTTGTAACATATGAAATATGATCTTCGAAAGACAAGTTGCGGTCTAGTATAACACCCAGGTCTTTTACTGTAGTGGATAAAGTAACAGGACATCCGTCTATATTAAAGTTGTATTGTGAGAGGTTTTGTGAGTAGTTTTTTGGACCAATAAGTAATACCTCCGTTTTATCTGAATTTAATAGCAGGAAATTACGCGTCATCCAGCATTTTATATCTTTGAGACACTCTGTCATTTTAGATGAGTTAGTGTTTTCATCTGGTCGTGATGAAATATATAATTGAGTGTCGTCAGTGTAACAGTGGAAATTAATTCCATGTTTTCTTATAATATTACCAAGTGGCAGCATATATATTGAGAATAGCAGAGGGCCTAAAACCGATCCTTGCGGTACTCCATAGTCTACTGACGTTATCTTTGATTTTTTCCCATTTAAACAGACAAAATGAGAACGGTCCGATAAGTACGATCTAAACCAGCTTAATGCCTGTCCCTGGACACCGGTGAAGTTTTGTAGTTGATCCAAGAGTATTTTATGATCTATAGTGTCGAACGCAGCGCTAAGATCAAGTAGGACTAGTATTGAAATACAGCCTTGGTCAGAAGCTAAAAGTAAATCATTTGTAATTTTAACTAGCGCAGTTTCTGTACTATGATGCGGTCTGAATCCTGACTGGAACTGTTAAAATTTTCGTTGTGAATTTACAGTAAATAATTGGATAAATTTTGCATTACTTTCACAGTAAGGATTACAGTAATATAATGTGAAATATGCTCACAGCAATTTACTGTAATTTTATATCTGTGATATTACAGTACATTACTGGGGAATTACAATATATATATATATATGAAGAGTTCAGATGCAAAAGCCTCTAAATGCCATTTGAAATTTTCTTCTTTAATAATGATTTTTATCAAACTTTTATATTTAAGTTCAGTAATTTCACCTAAATAACAATTAATAGATAAATATCATTGCCATTAAAGTGAAATTACTGAACTTAAATATACAAGCTTGATAAAAATGATCATTCTAGAAGAAAATTTCAAATGGCACTTAGAGGCTTTTGCATCTGAACTCTTCATATAAACACACACACACACAATGTAAACCCCCCCCCCCCCCCAAACAACAAACAACTCTGAGGTTAAGTCAATGTTAGCCCAATGGCATATTTATTAACACATATGTTTCAATGTACAGCAAGAATTTAAGAAATTAATTATTTTAGAATTTCAACTTTAAGATTGTTTTCATAAAAGCCATTTTAAAATGCAGAAAATGCAGAGACATTGTGCAAACTTTTAACTGTGGAGCCTGACAAGTACCACTGCTAAAAAACACTATGACGCCCACTCAAAGTCAATTAGTTTCCTCAATAGGGTGCTAATATGAGGGTTCATTGTGGTCCTCTTCTTGGTCTTCGATCCTCTTTCGGGATTGATGCCCAGGAAGCACCTGTATATACAGGTGCAAAGATAGATATAAGCAAAGATAGTTTCAGTTCTTAACACTTTTCACTCGTGTTTGTTGTTCTAACCGAATCCTGGTACAACGCACAAGGTGTGCACGGATCTACACTTCGGATTCTGACCGGGAATAGTAATTAGACCACCCGATAATCTTTGAAACACTTATTTCAACGTGCGATTTGGGACGTAAGTTACTAATTCTGTTTTCGAATACTATTTAGGACGGTTAGTATGTGAATTGGGACGCAGAAATGTATTAACTTAAACAGCTAACGGTTAGCCCTGCTAATCTATGATAACATTGACTAAGTACAGAAATGTGCACACATAAATAGTAATGTTTGTCCCATCACTGATTTTATAAACTCTACAAAAACCAGATTTGTCTAAACGGTGATAGACATGAAAATAGCAAAACTCGATCGTCATTAACTATGACGTATGCTGTGAGAACTTTCAACAATTCCGGGCAGCTGCTAACAAAATGTGAACTGTGTCATGCGATAAACGTTTATTTGAAAGTAAATATTATCATATTAAAATAAAATGGGTGTAAGTGCTGCAAACATGCATGCTTACCTTCTCCGTTAAGCCCGAAATAGAAGAGGCGGCGGGAGACGACGAAGCCTGCAACAGTTCGGTTATGTCACATGACTTCCCAGGGCATCGGCTACAGTATTTCACTGCAATAATACTGTTTGCTGCTGTGAAATCCTTATTTTTTTTCACTGTGTTGCTGTGATATTACAGACCTTGCTGTGACATAACAGCAGGTTTTAAATTGCAATGTTTTATTGTAAAATAAGAGTTAAATGCTGTAAAATCCAAGGATATTGTAGTTTTTACAGGTATTCATTGGGATATTACAGGGAAATGTAATCACAACAAGTTACTGTGAAATAATACTGTTAATTATTGTGAAATGCTGGTAATTTCATATCATTTTCTTGCAAAAAAGAGCACAATTGAGCGGACACTACTTTTTCAAGTATTTTGGACATAAATGGAAGATTTGAAATGGGTCTGTAATTTGCCAAGTTATTTGGATCTAATTGCGGTTTCTTAATGAGCGGTTTTATTACAGCCAGCTTGTATATTTTTGGGACATGACCTAAAGATAAAGACGAGTTAATAATGTTGAGGAGAGGCTCTTCCACTGCAGGTAATAGTTCTTTCAGTAGTTTAGTGGGTATTGGATCTAATAAACATGTTGTTGCTTAGATGCAATGATAAGTTTATTTAGCTCCTCCTGTCCTATCGTTGTAAAGCGGTGTAGTTGTTCTAGAGGGGCCATAATTGAAGCTGAATCATAAGACACAGCCCATTCTCACCCCCAAGGCGTCACTTAACTGACACCTTGGGAAGCATTTGGACATGCTTCAATATCTGACGCTTTAGGCGCCCTTTAGCGTCAGTAAGATGACGCCCTAGGATCGCGTGTACCCTACCCCCACCCCACACCTAAACCTAACCGCGTCCTCTAACTGACGCTTTCCTTTAGCGTCAGTTAGATGACGCCGTAGGATCGCGTCATGTAAGTGACGCTAAAGGGCGCCTAAAACGTCAAATATTGAAGCATGGTCAAAGGTGACGCCTTGGGGTGAGAATGCGTTGTAAGACACCATAGCGGATTGTACATTTATAATTTTGTTTCGGATGCTTTCTATTTTCGCATTGAAGTAATTCATAAAATCATTACTACTAAACTGTAACGGTATATTTTGCTCTGGTGATGTCTGTTTATTTGTTAGTCTAGCCACGGTGTTAAATAAAAACCTTGGATTATTTTGAGTATTTTCGATTAGTTTGCGTAGATGCTCAGCCCTGGCTGTTTTTAGTGTCTCTTCAACGTTCCTCAAAAAAGATTGGAGCCATTTAACTTTCAATATTCCATTCATAATTTCAAAGTCAATTGCTTTTATGCCACCTTCCTCATAATCTTTCAACAGATCTCCTTTTCTAATGTAGTGATGTTTATTTTTCCAAATGAAATTAAAATTGATTCTATTAATTTCTTTAATTAACTTAGGAGAAATAGCAAGAGAGCAGGATGGATATATCAGTCTAGAAATAGATTCAATCTTAGTCATCGTTCTACCAAATAATGTTAAATCTCTTTGTAACCAACTGTTTAATGTTTTTTGACATTTATCAATATTATCTTGGATATTCTTTTTTTCACTAGTATCTGATGCTTTGGAAATCCAAATACCTAGATATCTAATGTCATTTTTGACTGGTATATTATAAAGTGAGAGTTCAGAGCAATTATGAATGCTCATCAATTCACATTTACTCAAATTTAGATATAAACCCGATGCTAGTGAAAACCGCTCTATTACTTTTACAGCTACTGGTATTTGTTCCTTATTTTGTAAAAACAGAGTCGTATCATCAGCGAGCTGACTTATGAGTAATTTATGGTTGTTTATCTCTAAACCTTTAATATTTGAATTTTTAACCGCAATTGCTAGCAGTTCAGTCACGGCAATGAATAAAAGAGGAGAGATACTACAGCCCTGTCTTATTCCTCGTTCAACCTTAAATCTAGGACATGTACCTTCCGAGAGGGAAACACAGCTATTAATATCTGTGTGTAACATAATGATCATATCAAGAAACTTATTTCCAAAGCCAAAGTGTCTCAGTGTGTTAACAATAAATAAATGTTCCACTGAATCGAATGCTTTCTGGAAATCCAAGAAAAAGATTAAACCATCTTCCTTAATTAAATAATTATAATCAATAAGATCCAGGACCAGGCGGATGTTATTATGGATGGATCTTCCTTTAAGAAAACCAGATTGTGTTGGGCTGATTAATTTAGATATACCCGTCTTTAATCTTGCTGCCAAAACAGTTGTTAGAATCTTGTAGTCTGTATTCAACAGGGTAATAGGTCTTAGATTGCTTAATATTCTTTTATCTTTTCCAGGTTTTGGAATCAATTTTATTATTCCTTGTTTCATAGTTTGCATTAGTTCTTTTTGATTAATACATTCATTTATAGCCTGAAATAGTAGGTGTTTTAAATCTTCCCAAAAGTGTTTATAGAAGTTAGATGTAATACCGTCTGGACCTGGCGAACGATCAGATGCCATTTTTTTATCGCATAATCAAATTCTACAATTCTTAGTTCCTCATCACAAACTTCTTTAAAATTTACATCAATAACAGGAATCAAGTTGAGTTTTTTTTCAAAAAAAAGATGAGGCATCTTGTTCTGAGTAGGAGGATTTATAAAGATTACTATAAAAATTGAAAACTTCTTTTTCCATGCGTTTGGGTTCTGTACATTCTTCTCCATCAACTATAAGACTACAAATCGAATTATATTCTTGTCTGCGTTTTTCTAATTTTGCAAAAATATGCATTCTTTTCTCCCTCTTCAATCCACCGGGCCCTGGATCTAATATATGCACCTTTAGCTTTATCTATATATATTCTATCCAATTTGGATTGCAAATTACTTATTTTTTCTTTGTCCTCTTCACTCCAATCAGATTTACTATAAAGTGTCATGAGTTCTTTAACCACTGTTACTTCCTGAGCTCTCTTTTCTTTATTCACTTTTTTACCAAACATTATTGAATACTTTCTAATACTAAATTTCAAAAATTCCCATTTTAGTATAGATGTGTCTAGATTATTGTCATTTTTATATCAAGAATAATTTTTTTAACAGAATGACAAAACTCTGAGTTTTTTAGTAACTGAGAGTTAAATTTCCAATAATCTTTTGGTTTGTTATTTTTATTACTGTTTCGGATTTTTAGGTTAATAATACAATGATCACTTAAAGGACAACTAGCAATTTCGGTTTCTGTGACGTGATCTGATATTGAGTTTGATATCAACCAATAATCAATTCGTGATTTGTTCTGACCATTAGGTTTATGCCAGGTAAACTGTTTCACTCCACTATGTAAAATATGTCTATCAATAGGTTATTATTAGCAAAAGCTTCCAAAATTGTATTTCTATGTTCACTCAATAACTTGGAAGGCCATCTATCCATCCACTCATCAGGCGCTAAATTGAAATCCCCTCCAACAATAACATGATCTGTGGGGAATTTTGTTTTTAGTTCTATAATTACTTCTGATATTTGATGCAACAAATTTCTATTTTTGGTATCATTGTTATAACCATATATGTTAAACAGAATAACAGGATTAGCATCAATATCCAAAACACAGGCTACCCAATGTCCCTCCTTGTCTGCTTTTTCACCCAGAATCTTATCAGGGCATCTGTTGAAGCATATGGCAACTCCAGCCGACCGATTTGTCCCATGACTGAAGAGAATTTTATTCCCCCATTGTTGTGACCAAAATTTAACATCAGAAATATCTGAGTGAGTCTCTTGAAGAAAAGTGCAATGTGCTTGTTGCCCTTTGCAAAACAAAAAGACAGCTTTTCGTTTAACTGAGTCTTTAAGTCCCCTTGTATTAAAGGAAATAAAAGAAAGATCAGTCTTTAAGTGAAATACAGAACACATGAACAAATGAACTCTTTTTTTTTAACGAGAAAAAAAAAATTAGGGAGGTGGAGTAAAAACTTTGAGGTAGAAGTCCCATCACCCGAACTCATCCACTATGTATTAATTTAAGGACTAGTTTCATCCCCTAAATTAAGTGTCCTCCATAATACGCTTGCCTTCGATAAATCCAAACGGGCCCCTGAAGCCTGCAGCCTTTCCTTCCTTTCTAGCCTGGTCGATTTTGGGCCAGAGAGCCTGTCTGGAACGCCAGTCCTCTTGAGTCAGATCTTCAGTAAAACGAATCCCCTCTTCTTTGCAGATTGGAGAAGTTTTTGTTCGCCTCCAGATGTCATCTCTCACTGCTCACAATACTAGTCCTACTTGATCTTAGCGCTGCGTTCGACACTATAGATCATAAAATACTCTTGGATCGACTACAAAACTTCACCGGTGTCCAGGGACAGGCATTAAACTGGTTTAGATCGTACTTATCGGACCGTTCTCATTTTTTCTGTTTAAATGGGAAAAAATCAAAGATAACGTCAGTAGACTATGGAGTACCGCAAGGATCGGTTTTAGGCCCTCTGCTATTCTCAATATATATGCTGCCACTTGGTAATATTATAAGAAAACATGGAATTAATTTCCACTGTTACGCTGACGACACTCAATTATATATTTCATCACGACCAGATGAAAACACTAACTCATCTAAAATGACAGAGTGTCTCAAAGATATAAAATGCTGGATGACGCGTAATTTCCTGCTATTAAATTAAGATAAAACGGAGGTATTACTTATTGGTCCAAAAAACTACTCACAAAACCTCTCACAATACAACTTTAATATAGACGGATGTCCTGTTACTTTATCCACTACAGTAAAAGACCTGGGTGTTATACTAGACCGCAACTTGTCTTTCGAAGATCATATTTCATATGTTACAAGAACAGCCTTTTTCCACCTTAGAAACATTGCTAAGCTACGTAACATGCTATCTGTTTCTGATGCTGAAAAATTAGTTCATGCATTCATGACCTCGAGACTAGATTACTGTAATGCTTTATTAGCCGGTTGTCCTGCATCCTCAATAAACAAGCTACAGTTAGTACAAAATGCAGCTGCTAGAGTTCTTACTA